TCCCTTTTCGAGGGAGATTCTCGCTGCTCCTTTGCCGAATAATTTCAAGGAGACCAACTTGGTGTATGACGGGTCTTCTGACCCGTCGAGGCATGTGAGGACCTTTGAAAAGATGGCAGTGTTACATGGATATTCTGATTCTATTTGTTGCAGGGCGTTTCTATCGACCTTACGCGGAGGAGCCCTTGACTGGTTTCACCAGTTGCCCTCTGGGTCGATTGCAGATTTTGAGGATTTTGCCAGCAAGTTTACCAATCAATATTCGAGCGTGGTGGCGCATGAGAAAACGTACTTGACGTTGATGGCGATGAGGCAGGAGGAGAAGGAATCATTGAGGAAGTATGTCGCTCGATATAACCAGACATGTTTGGAGGTGCATTCGGCTTCAGATGAGGTGAAGGCGGGAGGATTGATAAGAAGTCTTCGAGCAGGGCCTTGCCGAACTTCCCTGGCAAAGACCCCTGCTCGATCATATGAGGAGGTCTTGAAGTGGTGCAGGAAGTATATTAATCTGGAAGAAATGGAGGTAGAATTCGCGAAGCTGGAAGGGCCGGCTCGACCAGAGCCAAAGAGGGAGCAAAGCCCACCAATAGGGAGGTCGCCGAGAAGGAGTACGCCCAAAAGAAGTAGGTCGAAAAAGATATCACCCAGCATGGAAGGTCGGGATTCGAAGCGAGAAAAAAGGGATAACAGGTGGCAGGGAAGGCCGTTGTTGTTTGAGAGACAGAGGTATCATAATTTTACACCCTTGAGGAAATATTTGACGGAGGTGCTCGAGGCTATGGAGCAAAATATGTCGACCGAGGATGTAACGTGGCCGAAGACAAGGTTTACAGGCCCGACTCGGCCCAGATCGGATATATATTGTCGATTTCATCGAGATTACGGCCATACCACGGAGAACTGCAGGAATTTGAAGGATGAGATTGAAAGGTTGATTCGGCAGGACATTTGAAGGAGTTCGTGTATCACGATAGGGTGAAAGGGAAAGGAAGGAGAAGGTGTCGGGATAATTCGGAGGAGAGAAGTGACAGGGACGAGGAAGGAGGCGATGGAGATGGTCGAGGAAAGAAGCCGAGGAGAGATGGCGATAAGGAAGGGCATGGAGGAGAAGCCCCGATGAAGAGGGGGCGATTTACATGATATCTGGAGGGCCAACAGATGGCGACTCGAATAGGGCAGGGAAAGAGCATGCTCGAGCTGTGAAGAGGAAGAGAGAGGAGGTGGGGATCACGGCTCGCATGCCGGTGATAAGTTTTAAGGCGGAGGATGCCGAGGGAGTGGTCCTACCTCACAACGATGCTCTGGAGATAACCACGGAGGTTGCAGGTTTTGACGTGAAAAGGGTGTTTATCGATACCGGGAGTTCGGTAGACGTGATGTTCTATGACTGTTTTGTGCAAATTAACAAGGAGTTGAATATTGAGTTAAAACCGGTGACCAGGGTACTTTACGGCCTTAACGGGGGAGAGGTTATGTCAATGGGGGAGATCAGTCTGCCCGTGGCGCTGGGATCAGGAGAGCTGAGGAAGGTGCGCATGGTGAGGTTTGTGATCGTAGGAGCAGAATCATTTTATAACATCATCATGGGGCGGACGAGCTTGAATGCGTTCCAGGCGGTCGTATCCACGTACCACATGACGATCAAGTATCCTGTGGGCGAAAACGTAGGGGAGATTGCCGGGGACCAACTCACTTCGAGGAGCTGCTATCAAACGACAGTAAGCAATAACAAGCAGTTGGCAAGAAGACAGGCCAAGTCAAAGGAGGAGGAGACTAGTCGACCGGAGGGGTCGAGGACGAAAGAGGATAAAAAGAGGATGGTGAAGGGTAAAGAGAAAATGGATATCCAGCCAGGAGGAGAGGTTGAGGAGATCCAGATGATCGAAGGGTGTGAAGAGAGAAAGTTCAGAATCGGGAAGGACCTAGAGGAGCCTATTCGGTCGAGGCTGGTCGATCTGGTCAGGGAGTTTGTTGACATTTTTGCCTATACAACAGAAGACTTGACGGGGATAAGTGCGGAGGTGATCGAACAACGGCTGAACATCGACCTCAGTGTGAGGCCGGTGAAGCAGAAAAGGAGGCATCATGGAGCGGAGATGGATAAAATCATTGAGAAGGAGATTGATAAGCTATTGGGAGCAGGGCATATCAAGGAGATCCAGTTCCCCGAGTGGTTGTCGAATACAGTAATGGTGTCAAAGGTAGAGGGAAAATGGAGGATGTGCATTGATTTCCGTGATCTGAACAAAGCATGCCCCAAGGATATATACCCACTACCCAGAATCGACCAGCTGGTCGACTCAACGGCGGGGTGCGAACTGTTAAGCCTGATGGATGCCTCCCAGGGATATCACCAAATTCCCTTGGCGAGAGAGGACAGGAAGCGGGTGAGTTTTGTAACAAATCGAGGGACCTATTGTTACATGGTCATGCCATTCGGTCTAAAGAATGCGGGCGCCATATATCAAAGGTTGGTCGATAAAATTTTCAAGGAGCAACTGGGAAGGAACATGGAGGTATATGTGGATGATATGTTGGTGAAAATCAAGGAGGAATTGGATCATGTGCGAGACTTGAGAGAAACATTCCTAACATTGCGGAGGTATGGGATGAAATTGAATTCTGCTAAGTGCTCTTTCGGGGTGAGGTCGGGAAAGTTCTTGGGTTACTTGGTGACCAAGAGAGGTATTGAAGTGAATCCTGAGAAGGTTCGAGCGGTAATGGATATGAAGCCACCGACAAATGTTAAAGAAGTGCAGATCTTAGCTGGTAGAATTGCGGGGCTGAGTCGTTTCATATCGAAGGTGGCGGAGAAGAGTGGCCCATTATTTAAAACATTGAAGAAGAGTGAAAAATTCCAATGGACGGAGGAGGCGCAGGGGGCCTTCGAGGAGTTGCGAGGGATGTTAGCCAACCATCCCCTATTGGCTAAACCCGTACAGGGTGAGGAGTTGGTGCTATACATTTCTATAGGAGAGAGGGCGGTGAGCTCGGTGTTGTTACGGGAGGAAGGAGTAGCGCAATTTCCCATCTACTACGTGAGTAGGGTGATGCAGGGGGCAGAGATGAGATACTCGAAGATTGAGAAGTGTGCATTGGCCGTGGTCGTAACGGCTGGAAAGTTGAGACCTTATTTCTTGAACCATAAAGTGAGAGTACGAACAAACATGCCGTTGGGAGAAACGCTTGGCCGACCATCGGTCTCTGGTCGATTGGTGAATTGAGCGGTCGAGTTGAGTGAGTATTCTTTATTGTACGAGCCAAGGAGGGCCATAAAGGCGCAGGTGTCGGCCGATTTTATCCAGGAGGGCACGAAAGTTGAAGAGGAGTCAGGAGGATTATGGTAGTTATTTGTGGATGGATCTGTGGCACGAAGCGGGGCAGGATTGAGAATTGTCCTTGTTTCTCCTAAGGGAGATTACTTGGAATTTGCAGATAAAGTTGGGTTCAAAGTATCCAATAATGAGGCCGAGTATGAAGCAGTAATCAAAGGCCTGAGTTTAGCCAAGGCGGGAGGAGCTCGAAAAGTACAAGTGCATTTTGATTCTCAACTGCTGGTTGGGCAGTTTCAGGAGGGGTTTGAAGTCAAGGAGGACCGGATGCAAAAGTATGTAGATGAGATGAGGAAGTCGAAGGAGGAGTTCGATTCATTCGAGCTGATACAAATTCCTCGAGGAAAAAATGGTCGGGCGGACCTGCTATCAAAAAATCGCTCAGAGCTTGGTGGATTGTAAGAGCAGAAGTGTTACTTTATTGCATCTTGAAAAGAGTATGGTCGAAGCAGAAGTGGCGGAGATCGAAGAAGGGGAAGAATGGAGGGCCCCAATCTTGGATGAGCTGAAAGAAGGAGCGATAAAGGTGGTGAGGAGATTTTTTGAGCATGGAGGTATTCTTTACAAACGGTCGTATGGGGGACCACATTTGCGGTGTGTTACTAAGGAAGAGGGTCGATATGTGCTGAGAGAGATGCACGAAGGATGTTGTGGTGACCATAGCAAGTCAGGGGCTTTGGTCGCAAGGATTTTGAGGGCGGGATATTTTTGGCCAACGATGAGGGAAGATGCGAAAGCGATGGTGAAGAAGTGCTTGCAATGCCAAAAACATGGTCCTCTTATTCACCAACTGGCAGAAGCAATGACAACGATGAGCGCCCCTATACAATTCGCCTAGTGGGGTATCGACCTGGTGGGGTCGATGCCTCAGGGAACCGGGCATAGGAAGTTCTTAATAGTGGCAGTCGATTATTTCACAAAATGGGTGGAAGCCGAGCCTTTAGCGAAGATTACAGAGGAGAAAGTAATTAAATTTCTATACAATAACATCTGCTGTCGATTTGGCGTACCCAAAGTGTTGATCTCCGACAACGACACCCAATTCAATGGTAAGCGAATTCGAGCGTGGTGTGAAGACATAAAAATCGAGCAACACTTTGCCTCCGTTGCTCATCCGCAAGCCAATGGCCAGGTCGAAGTAACCAACCGAAT